GAACCTCTGAAATACCGGCTTAGTGTGCTGACCACTACACCACGAAGGCACGCTAGGAAGGCAGGAGAAATACCCCTTATATACTCCCTATTTTAAAGGGCGACTGGGGTTTTCAGTGGATGCAATCGCCAAATTCTGGGTGAGAAGAATCATCATCCAACACCCTTTTTTAGTTCGGGCGCCACTGTAGAGACATTAGGTATATTTTTGTAAGCAGGCAAGATGAAAAATTAGCAACGCCTTCGCCAGAAATCGAACCGCGGACATCTCAATTATGCGCTGAGTGCACACCACGAAGGCACAATTATGCGCTGAACACTACACTCCGAAGGCTCGCTAAGAAGGTGGGAGAAATACCTTATATACTCTCCCTTTTAAAGGGCGACTGGGATTTCTAAGGGACCCAATCGTCAAATCCTGGGTGGGGAGAAATCATCATCCACCACCCTTTTAGTTCGAGCGCCGCTGTAGAGACATTAGAATTTTTTGGAAGCTGTAGAGATGAAAAATGAACAATCGCCTTCGCCGGGAATCGAACCACGGACCTCTGAAATACCGGCTCAGTGTGCTGACCACTACACCACGAAGGCACGCTAAGAAGACGGGAGAAATACCTTATAATGAAAGCATTATCGATCTTATACGAGGAAACTTTCTGCATTTTCACAGTTTTCCCATAAAGTGAACATCCATATAACAAAATATTCATTATGGTTTAATTAGTTAAAACACAAGAAAGCAATTTAAATGCGAAATCAGGGAAATAGGCTCGAGAAAACTTTTCTTTAAGAATAAAAGGATCAGAAATATAAATTTAAAGACCAATACTATTTTTCCGAAGAAGTAACCGATTAATCACGAAACCGAGCAGTTGTATTTTCTCCTTAAATCTTTTCACAAAAGTTTTCAGAAGAATTTAAAAGTTTAATCTGATTGGATTACGCAAACTGACTTCGATTTCTATATTTCTTATATCAATATGTTCTTTCCTTGTCTGAACTAAACTATGCTACACAGCCTCAGCGCAAAGCAAATTAGCTTTATTAGGAATAATAAAAACTAACAAGATTAAAGAAAGCACATTTTTTCAGTCTAGTACATTCTAAAACTTCGAATTCTAAGAAATGTAATCTAAAATCACCACTTGAAGAGGAAATCAAAGTTTTTATTCAAAAAGATTTCTGGAAACTCTCAGAAAACTTCGCTTCAAAAGCTTTTATTATTACAGAAAAAATACAAATTCGAAAGAATTTCTTTTCTTACAAATTATTTTTGTGGGCGTTCATACGCCTTTGCTTCGCAAAATGGCAAATATTTCGAAACTCATTAAAGAAGAAGCCTTTTCGATTGGACGTTAATGCATGCAAATTCATTCGCGGATCAAAGAAGGTTAAAGTTTGGGAAAGGAATTTGTATCTCATATTTGCATAACTAGAGGAGACATATTACTTTTTTTCTTATCCTCTGTTTTTCTCCATTCTTCCACCGCTTTGAAATGATGGCATAAATTTGTACCAAATAATTAAAAGTCAACATATTTTTATTTGTTTGTGAATGTGTTGCGTTGAATCTTAATTTTCTGTTGAATTAAGCAGAAGAGAATTTAGAAGTTAAATAATGAAATTAGGCTATAAATTTTTACGTCATCACCTTGGAAGCAAAAGTGTGGGACTAGTGCAACTTATCGGACGGGAGCAATAACGTATGACACAAAAGCTGACTCTGCCAAACTGCATAAAATATAGTTCCTACTAAGTACATTTAAAATATACATAGTGAAAAAAAATAAAAATGAAACACCATTTTATACATCATTTACATTTGTGTGTCATTTCATCTCTTTTCAATTAATTCTTTTTCTTATGAATAATAATATACTTCATTTATATGACACATAACTTCAGCTATACATCGTTTTGCCCCTACTTGTTCAAGGTTTCCTTTCCCAGCCGAAACATTTCCTCTGAAAATCATTTCTTTCTTTCGACAGCATTTTAAAGTTGTATGTTGGGATACTAGGGAACGGCAGAAAGACGTGGAATATCACAGACTGAATAGGGTCTAAAATCTGGACGATAGTTGTAAGGCAGGCTGCTTCAAAGGATAAAACAGGCAATGAAGAATGTTGATCAAATACGTTTTCTGATGTAAAATGTTTCCTGCCTCTTTCATAGGATTATAACCTATTTTCTCCCTCCTTTCCGCATGCCTTCGTTGTGTAACGGTACCACACTCGGCGCGCATTCAAGGGGGGTCCAGGTTCGAGTCCTCGCGAGGGCATTGTTCATTTCTCGTGTACTCCTCCTTCAAAATAACCTAATGATTCTACAATGGCGCCCTAACTAAAAGTGTGGTCGACAATAATTCGTCACCACTATGATTTGGCGATTGGGTCCCCTAATCCCCGGTCTCCCTTTAAATGGGGGAGTACATAAGGTAGTTTCTCCCTCCTTCATGGTGTAACAATGGCACACTCAGCGCGTGTTCGAGAGGTCCAGGTTCGAGTCCCGGCGATGGCATTGCTCATTTTTCATGCTCCCTGCTTTAAAACAACCTGATGACTCTATAAGTTATTTCTCCCGCCTTCTTAGTAAACCTTCGTAGTGTAGTGATCTGCACGCTGAGCCGTATCCGGAGGTCCGTGGTTCTATTTCCGGCGAGGGCGTTGCTCTTTTTTCAAGTCGCATGCTTCCAAAAAATACCTAATGTCTCTACAGTAGCGCCCGAATTAAAAGGGTTATTTATGATGATTCTCCACACCCAAGATTTGGTGATTGGGTTCCCTAAAAAAAAAAAACCCGGTCGCCCTTTAAAAGGGGTAGTATTTACGGTATTTCGCCCGCCTTCTTAGCATGCCTTCGTAGTGTAGTGGTCTGCACGCTGGGTGCGTATCCAGAGGTCCGTGGTTCGATTCCCGAAGAGCGCGTTGCTCATTTTTCAAGTCTCCTGCTTCCAAAAAATACCTGGCCCACCAGCGGCCGAGCGGTAAAGACGCTGAACACTGGTAGTTCGGTCCGAGGTTCGAATCCCGCGAACGTGCTTTCTGCATGGGCGTTTTCGTGGTTTTCCCCATGTGTAACGTGTATACGAGCCAGTTTCCCTTAGAAAGTCCTCCACGAAGGCATTCCTCCCTTTAGGCAGATAGCCCTCGTGCCATAACTGAAGAATCCAATCCAAAAAATACCTAATGCCTCTACAACTCTACAGGGTAAGCATGTTGTAGCCGGATTGCTGTTTACCCGATTCCCTGGTAGTGCTTTGATTAAGGCTTAAATTAAAATGGTACATGAGATGATATTTCAAGGTTTTTTCTTTCACGAAAATTACTTAAGAAAAGTATTGTAGTTCTCCCTTCTATGTTTAATATGAGTTCTAATGATTTCAAGAAATAAATAGTTTTTTAATTATAAATAAACAAACATAAATAAATAAAAGCATTATGATAAAATTGCATAGCATTAAAATTCTGAATCTAGATTATTCATATTACATTTTTAACTAAACTTCGATTACATATTTTTCCCATTTCTATTCTTTCTTGAGCGATCTCTTGCAAGAATTATAATTGATGCTTTATTCTATAAATAAAAATTGTAGTTTCATTTATTTTGGTAATTCTATTTAGTCCAATAACCCTAATAGACGTGAAGCAAATTATCGCTATGTCTGAAACAACGACAAAGTCGTGCGAAGTGTAAAAATAACGATTTTATTTAAACATAATTTAGGCACTCACTTGTGCTACAATATAATCACATCTTGAGGTAATGCAACTAAACAGTACAGTCAAGTTTAGGTTAAAACGTGGCTATTATTGACTAAATATACGTAGAGAAAAGGAAAGGTTCATAAATTAAAGTTTATTATGATGGCTTACCATATTTATGCCTTGCTGTATTTATGCTTTAAAGCGCATATGATTACATATCGTATTTTTACTTTTGCGTGAAAATAACCGAGATTTTTCTTTGAAATCAATTTTTCTTCGACTCTCTTCACTTCTTATCATTTCTTTCTTTCGAAATCACTTCGTTTATCACATTTTATTTTGCTTTTGATTTCAAAACGCCCAAGAATAACTAGTTTTAGCTGCTGAAAACAATTAATACAATTTGTAAAAACAAGGTGTGAAAGGGTAACAAACCCTTTTATTTATAACAAACTGTTTATGAGAAGGCACGGATTTACGTGCATACAAAACACAGCACCAACTACTTGCGGTGAAAAATTAAATGTTAATTTAACAATAAATTTTAAGGTAAAGATGTAGTGCTAGACTATACAATTCATTTTAATCTAATAGGCTTACTCATAAACCTACCTCAACAGGATATTAACTCAATGGAAAGAATGCGTAACCACTACTGAGATTAACAGATGAAGAAAAACTAGCAAACGTGTACTAGCGAAATCACGCTCTGTCTAACCTTTTCGTTCCAACAGTTTAAATACTCTCGTTCACTGTATTTAATTTGCACCCTGGCGAAGAAATCCGAGGTAAAATAAGAGAGGCTCACAAATTAAAATAACTGTTAGTAAAATTAAGTAGGACCCTGCAGCCTGTGGAAAAACGGTTTCATATGTAAAATGACGCTAATTTTTAAATGTGTTTTAAACTATTAAAACATTTAGTAAATAACACAGTCTCACCTGTAAAAGTCTGACATATTCAGATATTAATATCCTGCTGAAGCGTTTTATGAACTGATCTAAATATGGCATTAAAATAAATATGCATATTTCGTTTTAACAGAAACTTAAAATAATAAATAATAATAATAATGTTTTATCTTATATTTCTGGGAGTAAGTAATGTGGAACAAAAGGTTATAACATTTCTAACTAAATAATTTAGATATTTCAGTCATTGATACTAAATAAATTATCTGTATAGTTATGTAACTAAATTATTCGTATAATTACAAAATAATCTTAATACTTAAAGCTATTTTTGTATTTTAATGTAACACTAACATTCGTTTTTTTCTAAATCTTTGCAGGTATTTTCTGCAGCATCAATGTGTTATTTTGCTTTCGTAGGATATGATATCATTGCTATATCTACCAGGGACACTCCACACAGATCAAGCATCTTTCCCACTACAGTCAGTTTCGTCTTCCTTATTGGTCTTTTGGCTGCTTTTTCAATATCGGTTGTCCTCACCTTATTGGTGCCATATTCTATGCTGCAGGTCAGAGCTCCTGTACTTCAGGCCTTCGATTTGAGGGAAGTTATCGGAATGTGCTATTTCACATCGGTTGGAGCAGTGTCTGGCCTCATTTCTGCAGCCGCTGCTTCTCTAATTTCATTGATTAAGCTTCTTCAGTCATTAGCGAGTGAAGGACTTCTGTTCAAATTCCTCTGTCGATCGCAGTGCCACACTTTTTTAGTCTCTGGTATTTTAAGTTCTTCTCTATCCTTCTTCTGCGATATTAAAACTTTGATTCATGTTCTTGGCATGGGTACGTTGATAGCTTGTATATCAGTTGCTGTTTGTGTCTTGCGCCTGCGATATGCCGCAGCCGGATCTCAGCGATCGCCTGTAGACCTATTAGAGTTATCCGAAGATGAATCCGTGGTGGAAACCACGAAGGGAATCGGAGACTCCGTAGACAGAGAAACGCAGACAGAGAAAGATACGGTACCTGCATCTGTTCGTGGAAAAACAGATTATGGTTCTCTGAATCCCAGATCTCTATCAGTAGACTTTGTTGACGAATCTTATATCACTTGCTTATCAGAAATGTCCCCACACTGGAACAAACAAGAGCCAAGTCATCGCTCAGCTGCCACTGCCGCGGGGCTCATCGGAGCTGCCATGCTAGTTATGCTGCTAATAGGCGTGATGACGCTTCACGTGCCTAGACTTTTACCAAAAAGCAGATGGTGGGTAGAACTCATTGCATGCATACTTTTTGTGATAGTGTTAGCATGCACTGCTGCAATTTGTAGACAGCCGAAACACAAACCACGAATTCGTAACAGAGTGCCCTGCGTTCCCTTTCTTCCCCTATGCGCCATTTGGATGGATGTACATCTCATCGTTGGGCTTCCGTGTGCAACTTTGCTTGTTTTTTTAATATGGACCCTTATAGGTAAGTACACAAAATGTAACGTATTTTTGTTATGAAAAAAATGTGTCAATTAATTTTAATGATTTAAACCACAATCGATTCAAAAAGCTTACGTTTAATATATTGATCTGATTTCACATGCAAAGTGGAGCAAATAAATATTACATGGAGCGAAAAGTCTTAAAATAATTAAAAATTGAACTTTTAACGCAAGCCTAAAGTAAGATTATTTCCAACCAGATGGAGCAATAGTCTTACATGGTTCGCTATTCATTTGGGCTTCCTTAGCAGAGTGATAGTTTTCACAAAGTTGTCAGCTAACTTGGTCTAAAACGCTCACTTAAATTACGTTTATCATGTGTGAAGAATACTAAATTACAAATGTAGCGGTTCTACAAATAACTCTCATTAAGACCGGATCGTACATATTTTATTTAGGTGCAGAATAAGAAAGCCAACTGCTTAAGCTCAATCCCAGTTTTGGCGAGGGACCACAGTCTTGTACCATGAAATCTGAAAGTCTTGTACCACTTGATGAACTGCATGGCAATACCGTGTTCATTCCATAACTAGAGCTTTGTTACCAAGTGAACTAGCAAAGGCTAAAGCCGCCGATTCAGGTAAATCTAGGTGAACAAAAATAGTTTGGAAAATTTCAGCGGTCGCCCCCTTAACTACAAATACGGATATGTTATGAAGTTGATTATATGATTCGAGATGTGGGTCTTAATAAGCTAGATAAAAAAATTAAACTTCTGAGGGCACATGAAGAGCTAGCAAGTAAAATTTCCGAAAATGCCCAAGAAAGTGAGGTAAAGAGGGGAAGACTATTGTTTCCCATACTGCAAGGAAGCCAATCAGATTGAAATGAAGAGAGACAAACGTCACGCCATGCCTAAAGCAAAATATGAAATAAAAGATGCAAAATGAATATAAACTATACAAGTAGTTCAAATAAAGTAAATAAACTATGCAATTATTTGCGGCTGATGAATTCAGAAATGCAACAATAAATTAAATGAATTATACACCAGAAAAAAAATGCGATAAAAATCAGCAGTCCAAGATACGTTACAAAGTTTAGTCTCTAAGCATGAGAGTAGCAAATGCCCTGACTAAATTATCCTTAACTACAAATACGGATACGTTATCTTCTAGAATGATTTGGTAATTAAGAATTTCTGAAAAATTGCAGCATCGTAGCTAAGTCCAGTTTTGAAAAAACGTTCATTACGTTTTAAAATGTGAGCCTATACAGTCGATCTTCAAGTCATCATTGATCAATTTGTTTAATAAGCGTTTACAATTCTTCTGAGAGTCGTATTCTGTAAAGTTTGAGGAAGACAGCATTTAACGTTGAGGATCAGGCAGAAGATAGAAGCATGACCTTATAATGGATGATGCGCAGCATGACTTTATAATATATAGATAAATCATTCTTTTCTTGCTGGAAAACAGTCTGAAGATGTTTCCAAGCTTAATCTGAGAAGTCCATTTTGATCTACGGTTGAAGATAACTATGGTATAGAGCTACCGCTGTTGATTCGACCAGCCTGGCAAGCTGCTTTGAAGTACAGATTTGCTTCCTGAATCCGTATCGGTCGGAGAAACGTAGCTAGTATGAATTCAACATTTTAAGGTACTGTGTTCATAAATTTCGTTAAAATTGGAAAGCAGATTTATAGGGCAAACATTCTCCCCTCTGGCGCTGTCCTTTCCAAGTTTGGGAAGTGCAAAGATCTTAGCCCTTTTCCAAGAATTAGAAAAATAACTTAGTGGCGGGCAGGTGTTAAATACCAGTGAATTTGGCAATAATATTAGAAGATACTTTAGTAATATTGTTGAGTTCTTACGAGTTCGTGGATTTGGAGTGATTAACGGCAACAGTTGATGAAGAATGAAAACACAATTTATTAGCCAGTGTTACTCACGAAAGCTCCAAAAGCATGTTTACAGCCGTCGAAAAACTACAACAAACACGCTGAAACAATCGGCAACACAGCCTTCAGGCTATCAGGCTATAACGGTGAAGACAGCTTCAATGCAAAGCAATAGAATACAGCTCCCGACTCGGCTCGGTCGTTCTCGCAACTCAACGTACCCTCGAAGACTCACAATGGTACATCTCGCCATGCACTCGACTATACATTCGATAAAACTCAACGATGCACACTCTCGATGCACTAACTCGCGATACACTGATGAGACATTCGACACTAGACTGTGCTAAGAGCGCGTCTATACGCAGAGATAAGAGGTCGTATGAATTTTGCTCCCACATTTTGCTTCACGGTGAACGGAATATTCAGCCTTACAAGAGTACAGCAAAGCACTAGGACTTCAGTAGTGTAAGTTTCATCATTATTCACTGATTATTTAATTAATTTTCTAAGTATTACTGTTCCGCCTTGTGTTCCTGACCGTTGTTACTTTAACACAGTAACGCGGTTACCCGGCTCTTCCTTCTGCTGATAAGAAAAAGGAACTTTAGCATTCTCCCCTCCTCTCAGTCTCGGACACAGGCAGCGCAGGGGTGCGCTTGTAATCGAATACTACTCTAAATCCACCCCTTCCAAATTCGCTTTTATTTATTTTTTTTCCCCCTTCAAAACAAGGAAAAGATTTTCAGCCGCCATCTTTGGCCACATAAGAGTAGTAATCATCTTACGATTGTCAGTGTATTTGATTTTTTTTTTATTAGTACTACACATCATTCGTGCCAAGTGCGTGTTCGCATTCAGCTCAAGCAGTATTTTCCTCTATAGTGCTACAGTGCAATTCCTCATCAAGTTCATATCTGTGAAAGTGTGTGCATTGCTTATTTTGAAAGAGATTTTAACGCTTACGAAGTATTTACCTCTTACATACCCCAGTCCGAACTAGTGCTATAGCACATACTCAATATATGTAAAGAAGATTTTTGAAATTTCACCATACATCTCCTTATTCATTATTAATACCGGAAGTTTGTGCATCGTGTTCTCGCAGTACGGTACATACTTTATCGGCAGTGTATGCGATTTGATTGTACATCTCCTCATTCAAGTTTAATGCTACGAAGAGCTCCAGTATTAATCATATTATTCAGTGCTTTGATATAGTGCGTGTGAATATTATTCAGTACTTACTTAGGGCAGTGAAAAGTGCGTGTATTGTGCTCAAGTATTCATCTTTTTTTTTTTTTTTTTTTTCAGTGTACAGAGCGCGTAATTTTTATTCAGTGCTTACCGTGAGTGTGTGCATACGTTATTGCTCTTTTTCTTTTTTTTTTATCTTTTCTTTCATAGTGCTACAGCGCAAACTCAATATTTATGCAAGATAATTTATTTGTGAGATATCTTCATTCATCTCCTAATCAAATTTTCAGTGCTGTGAAAGTATAGTGTTTGTATAGTGTTTTTGCAGTTATCTCATCTTATAGTGCTATAGTGCATACTTTACTGTCAGTTTATGTGATTTGATTGCGCATCTTCTCATTCGAGTTTAGTCCTAGAAAGTGTGTGCATCGTGTTCTAATAGTCATTTTGTTATTCAGTGCTGTGTAATAGTGTGCGTGATTATCAGTCTGTGCTTACTTAGAACTGTTTAGTATATAAGGTTAAAGTGTGTGCGTCACATTTTATATAAAACAAATATATATATATATATTCCTCTTATAGTGCTACAGCCCATACTCAATATACAAGAAAGTCTATTAGCTTATGAGGTTTCATTATACATCACCTCATCCACTTTAGTGCCGTGAAAGTGCACACATTGTGTTCTCGCAACTATCTAATCTATTATTGCTACGGTACATGCTTAGTACTCTAGCCCAAGTGCATGCGATCTGATCGTGCATCTCCTCATTCAAGTTTAGCGTCGTGAAGTGTGTTCATTGTGTTCCGCTACCTTTCCTTACAGTGCTATCGCGTAAACTGAGTATTCCTGGAATATTGCAGGTGCATGTGTATCCATCATTCATCTCATCATTCGTTTTTTTATGCTCTGAAAGCATCTTCATTGTGTTCTCTTACTTACTATGCCTTCGGATACTCCCTCATCACCAGCCGGCACGGAGCATAATATTCAACATTCTCCCCCTTCTGTTAAAGGTGCTGCTAGCACATCGACACCTAACTCCAGGTTGGAAGCAATTAACCACATCTGTAACCAACTCCAGTTATTCATCTTACAAGCAAAGGAATCTCGCAGACTAAACGCTTCTGAAAGAAAGCAATTTACATCTTTTGTGAACACCGTTCGCATAACGTTAACGGAACAAGAGGTTTATCTCGCCCAGCTACAGGGACAAGTCTTGGCTCTGCAACAACAGCAACTCGCACACAGTTTACAGCCATCTCACGAGAATCCTCAACATTCCGAGTCTTATCAAGCAGTGGAATCCTCAGCCCCAGAAGAACAGTCCACAAAAGAATATTCCTTCACTGAGGTGACACGAAAGAAGCGGAAAACTTCTCCACCTTCAAGATCTTCTCCAGTTCTATCGGAGCACGTTCTATTATTAAGGTCAAAGAACTCCACACGGACACCCGAAGGGATTAAAGCTCAACTTTCGGCAGATTTGAAACCCTCCCAGCTAGGGATCACTTTAGTGCAGATTCGGCCGACAAGGTCCAGAGAGCTTCTCATCCGGTGTCGAGAAAAAGCTCACCTGCTACGCCTGAAACAGGCAATCGAGGACAGGCCAGCACTACTAGAGACACTTGAATTTCGGGAGCCCAAGCCAAGAAGGGAAAGTGTAATTATTTTTGGAGTACCTGAGAATCTAGGAAAAGAAGATCTAACAGCAGCACTTGTAGACCAACTGCCCAATTTCAATCCCAGTGCTTTTCAAATACGAGCAAGCCGTTCCGGGCAAAGCGGAAGGAAAAACTGGGTGATAGACATAGACCCTAAGTCAGCAGAACACCTAGTTAAGCTAGGCCGTCTTTTAGTGGGTTTTGAGTCTTGTCCTCTCCGTCCGTACATTAGGATCATACGCTGTTACAACTGCCAGGAGTTCGGTCACTATAGCAGGAACTGTAAAAACGCTCCAGTTTGCGCGAAGTGTGGTAACAGCCACCCGACGCAGGAGTGTAGCTCGGAAAAAGTGAGTTGCACTAATTGCTGCAGTAGTAATTCTGAAAAGGGGACCTCTTTCAGCACAGATCACCCAGCTACTTCAAGTTCCTGCCCAGTGTATGGAGCCCATTTCGAGAGTCTGAGAAGGACCACTGCAAAGAACTAAACCAAGATGACACTAAACAAACATATAGCAGGTCTTCGATTTTTACAGTGTAACTTGCAGAAGTGCTATGCAGCAACCATAAATACGCTGCAAGTAATGACACATACTGCTGCCAATGTCGGAATCTTCCAAGAGCCATACGTTTACAACGGAGTGATTCCTAGTGTTCCAACACACAGCAGAACGTTTCTCTCAAAGAATCAGCTAGCTGCGATTATTTACAGTGGCCCTCTCTCCCCTCTCCTAATGAAAATCACAGAGCATACAGTCTCCATCAGACTAGACACTAGTAATTGCAGCATTGATATTATTGCTGTGTATCTACCCCCGAGCGAAGATATTACCTCTCTATTAGAGGAACTTAATTCTAACCTTCTAACTGGGGCATCACACTGTATCATAGCAGGAGACTTTAACGCCACCAGTCAACTATGGGGTGCTGACTCGGAGAACCGAAGGGGAATTGCGGTACTCGAATTCTTGGACAGTAAGCATTTCATTGTCATCAACGCTCAGGACTCACCGCCTACCTTTGAAACATCTAGAGCTCGAGGGTGGCCAGATCTGACAATATCAACTCCC